TCATTAGCACTATCGTCTATCATTTTCAAAAGAGAAAAAGAAATAGTAAATTGAAATCTGATAGAGATCTTTGTGCTTTTGAATGAAATCAAAAGATTGGATTCGTTTGGATCGTGACAGAATTATTATAAACCCAGTTATCCATTACTACATGTAAACTCGCAGCGATTATATCGATCAATCGATTTGCTGAGTCAACCAAAAATCAATGAAAAATCATTTTGACTTGCTAATTCGATTCAGTACCGCAAGTATGTTAAAATGTATGTAATCGTTCGATAACAAATATTTTCTTTATGATAGTAATGGAATATATAAATTTGTTGCAACTATATGTATTTCTAATAAATTCCATGATTCTTGTAATAATAGAATCTTTTCCAGACTGTCAAAGCATTCCTTCCGGCAATGATAGAAAGCAACACAGGCCATATTGTGAATATAGCGAGTATTGGAGGTCTCGTTGGATGTCCCGCAATCGTAGATTATTGTGCGTCTAAGTATTCAGTTGTTGGTTTCAGTGAAGCATTACAATTGGAATTAGACGTATGTATTTTGCTTAATTTAGTATTTTTATTTAGTGATAGAAATATCGATTAGTTGGCTATATTTTTGTTGCTATATTATTTTTTTATTTCTGTTTATACATTTTATTTAGTTTCATGGACATGACGTTAGCATTACATCAGTATGTCCGACATTCATTCTCAATACGGGCATGCCTGCAGCTAAATTCTCTGGGTATGAATGTTTAGTACCTGTAGAGTTAATTACTATATAAATATGAAAAAAATAAATATTTGTTTTAGGCATCTTCCAACTGTTAGTCCGCAGGATGTTGCTGAATGTACTGTTACTTCCATTCGATGTAATAGGAAAATTGTTTTGGTGCCAAATTACATGTACTTCCTACTATTTATGAAATGGTATAATAGATTTCTCAGAAAAACTTTATCCGCACAATTGTAACATTTTTCTTTAATTTTTATCGTTTACAATTTAATAACAAATCTAAACCAAATTTCAGGATAGTGCCACATCGTTTCTATTCTAAAGTATTGAGATATTTAATGCCGATGGATCGAACTGAATTTTATCCAATAGAAAATCAAGAAAAATATAAGACACATTTTTCAAACGCAAATAATGTCGTTGCGTCATGAGCACTAGGCATGTTCACTTAATTTTTGCGAAAGATATCATGTACTGATATTTAAATATTTCTATATGAATATATGGATTATCAAACAAGAATAAAGAATAGAATCATCAATCGCAAAAGTATCAAATAATAAGAGTTGATCATTTCGGAATAGAATATCGGAAACGAGTATAATTTGTTCTTTACAATTTATTTATCTTATAACTAAAGTCCCAATAATTTCACTATTACGTCAATAACCGAATCTATATTTGAAGCTTCCATCTGTGTGTAGTTATTTTAACTTAGGTCAAGGGCAGGACACATGTATCCACCAGCGATAAAATGATCAAACCGGTATTCATTTAAAAAAACCGCTCCCATCATAATCCCAAATTAACAGGAGAACATAAATTCTTTTGAAGGAACCTCGTGAGGTAGATGTGAGATGTAGATGTAGATGTGATAGTAGATATCACAGTATATTTGTAGTAGTATGATACAATTGTCGTTGTGTTCATGTATTATGAGCCGCATTGGCTATTTCTGACTTAATAATGAGATAAAACTCGGATGTATGTATGTTGTGATGCTGAAGTATATAAGTTAGACTGCTGTAAGGAACAAATTATACTCGTTTCCGATATTCTATTCCGAAATTATGAACTCTTGTTATTTGATAATTTTACGATTGCTGATTCTGTTCTTCATTCATATTTCATAATCCATATTGAAATATTTAAATATCAGTACTTTAGTTTGTGCTAGACACCTCCTTTTGAGGCATAGCCAGTCATATTGATAAGACACGACTGTTCTACTGGTGAGTGCAAATGCTTGGTTGCTATCGTTTGCGGATTTTTATGTGCAACGGAACGTATTATTTGTTGTATCGTTGATAATGAACATGAGTGATCTGATTTATAGTTTTCTTTGTATCGGAATAAATGATTATATAATTTTTTAATTTTTCTGATTTATGTGCACTAACTTCTAAAGAAAAAAGAGTATATATATATGTAGGAATTTCACTAGGAATGGCACTAAGACCGTAATGTCTTTCTGAAATAAATTTATTTTAATTTAATTTATTTTATTTTAATATATTTCTTCTCCTATTCTTCATGTTTCCGATACTTACAACTTTTTATTAATACCTACCGATGTATTATGCTTTTCTTTACAATGTATTTATCTTATAACAAAAGACCCTATAGTTCAGCTATTTTTTCTTACGTACCAACATTTGAAGCTACCATCTTTGTGTAACAGATTCTTATCTTGTCAAGTACAGGACGTGTGCGTTCAAACAATAAATTGATCAAACCTGTTTTCTTTACATGGAAATTAATTCAACGATTTTTTGGTTACTTGCTGAGTTATAAACTATTTATTAATATTAGGTATACGTATCTCAAATATGCAGATACATATATTTGATTGAAGATACTAAACTGCGTAAGAATATAGTCTTTTTTTGTGTGTGAGATATGTCAGTAAACAAATTAACTGATAAAAGTAAAGCTTCTAGAAGATTGCGAATCGTACGTGTGAGTTTATGTCAAAGGTTATCCACTTATTACATGAATAAAAAAATGGAACGTTCCAATAGTAATTGTTTATGTGCAATTATGAGATTCATATAGTTGTGGTAAATGAAGATCTGGAATATTGAGAGAGAGAGAATAACAAATAGTGATGAAATTGAATGCATAAGAGAGTATTGAGTAATGTTCAGCGACTGACGTACGAGTGAAAAAAGCTAGCAAGGATAGCGAAGTAAAAAATTAATAGAGAGACAGACTGGACAGCGAACAGCGAAGAGCGAACAGCGAACAACGAACAGCATATGATATTATGCTTTCTATATTTCTTTAATTATATATATTTTTCAATGTTTAACCACTATCGAGTACAATATTGTTTTCTTCAGCATTATACCGGCCTATTAGTAGGGAAAGAACTAACCTGTCATTAGTTTTCAACAGGTTTAATTATATTTTTTCCCACACACACACACAAACACACCCACACACACATATATATATATATATTTGCACCTATATACTTGTGTAGATTTAACATCATATATTTTTATTAAATATATTAATCTAAATATTTATTTTCTTAATATTCTTATTGTATTTATTATATTGTAAATTGGTGAGTTGAAAATTCTTATTGGATTTGTATTAATTACATCAATGTGATCTTACTTTCTTAACTTGTGATGAGGAAAAGTTATGTGTCCGTAGAAACTAAACAAAGATAACAGTTTGTTCTTATTGTCAACAGAAAAAATATAAAAATCTAATATAACAAGAGAACGTAAAATATTAATTGCAATTGAATACAAATTGTTCAGTTGAATAATATTTATATTAAAATGTAATTAATCGAAAGAATGTATTATAAAAAATAAATGCAACATGATTGTCAATCGCGAAAATTTTATATAAAAGGAATAGACCAGTATATTTTTTTTTAACTATAACGACATCGACAACGAGAAAGGTTTATTTTTGTACTTTCTTATTTTTTTTCTAATATTTTTATAATAACTATGATTGTGATAAAAATCGATAAAAACTATTGGACGTACGTTGATTTCGTAATCCATATGATGCACTTACTCAAAAATTCAGATAATTTATTGGATTAATGGGAAGAATTATGCTCGCGTTCTTTTCTCCTTCTTTTGTTTCTTGGGTAAAAAGATTTTGTTATTTTTTTTCGGAATCAATTAATTTCCATTTACCGGTTTATGCAGGATGTAATATATTATCCACTATCATATTGGTGATCTTTTTGACATATCCCTCTTCTCTCTCTTTCTCTCTCCTTCTCTCCTTCTCTCTTTTGCATATTCATACATGTTGCTATTTTACATAGACAAAATACGAAATTCATTTTGTAGTCGAAATAAGAGAGAAAAGTTAAAATGTTATTAATTTAAAATAAATCATAAAGTAGAAAAAGAAATGATTGAGAGAGAGAGAGAGAAAGAGAGAGATAGAGGGAGAGAGAGAAAAAGAAATTTCGATCAATTATATGTTATATTAATAATATCGAAAACAACTTGTTTATATAAAAATATTCTTTTGCTCTAATTACATTGAGTCGTTTACGAGAAATGAAACATATGGGTTATTAAAATAAGAAATAAAATGTTATGTTTCAATTGGATTGAGAAACATTTCTTTGGAGTAGGACATCAATAGTTTCTAATCTTGTTATCGTCTTTTGGGATTGTTAGAAATTTTCAGATTGAGTTTTTCGTGCAGGAATAAAATAGAATGCATCGATTGTTCATGATGCAAAATTCGATACAAAATCTTCTTTAGAGCTCATTGATGTTTTGTTATAATCATTTTCAAGAAGTGTTGAACTTATGATATATGATCTGCACGAATTATCACCAAATGTTACTCCCGTTTATTCATATTCCTTTGGACCCATCTTGTGTACATTGGCGATAGAAGTTTCATTTCAAGAAAGATTTTGAATTATGTAGTAATTAGTTCTGGTATATGATATAACGACAAATATTCACTGAAGGCGTATACAAAGCATTTCGAGTCAGTAGGTCAAATATATATGTACAGTAGCCAGTTTTGAAATGCGTATTTCCCCCACTCTTCTCTGTATGTATATCCCCACCTCGCATATAATATCTCGTTCAACTTGCTCGGCATTCAGTTTGTCGATAACCATAGGACGTAGAGGACTCTCTTTTCTTTTTAAGGAGATGAATAATTTATTTTGTTGACAATTTGTTGCCGTTACTTATTTATCTATTTTTAGCTGCTTCTTGTATCCTGAAATAAGATCTGTGGACATTTGATTTTTTAATGTAAATTATATCATGCATTGGAATATTTCTTTTTTCAAATGTTGTTATTAATATAACAATAAATGAACTTTGTGTTATTTTTTGTGAGTTTTTGGCTTGTAATTGAAAAGAAAATATTTAGAAAAATATTTAAATATTGAGAGTAAATTCTTAAATCCAATGTACAAGTGTATCTCTGAAGGGATTTAAGAAGGTATGATTTTGAAGGTATAAAACTTTCTTGGAAGAGAGTAGTGGATATGTGATCTTGATCATACTCAAACTATTATCGTGTAATACTAATGTTAACGATTGCAATAAAACTAGTGATAATAATGATGTTGATATTACGATAATAATAATGATAACGAAGATAGTAATAATAATAATAATAATAATAATATTAATAATAATAATAATAATAATAATAATGATAATAATAAATTATGTTTTATATTTCGTCTTATACATTAATGTTGTTATTGCTCAATACAGGATAATTTGTTACAATTTTCAATTGCTCAGAAAGAGAGACGAAAATAACGTTGTAAGTTTATGTAATCATGTCGATCTTTCTACCTGTGTTCAAATTTATCATTTCCAAATTTATTGGAATTATGAGAAGTATTATGAAGTTATTTATTCCGTGGAAATATCAAATGAAGGACATTTCTGGCGAGATTGCTCTCGTCACAGGTGCTGCCGGAGGTCTTGGAAGAGCAATAGCCATCGTTTTAGCTAATCATGGTGTCATCGTTGTCATTTGGGACATCAATCAGAACGGTGCGTTAACTTTGATATTCTATGTCATTTAAAAAATTCTTTGTTTATTCAAAATTATATTCGGAAGGTAAATCTATAATATATTATGGGACAAATGTTCGAATTTAAAATCTTCATATGATTCAAGTCACATATATTCTTACGTTAGTATGTATTGTATTATTTCTTTTTATATATAGTAATAAACCATCTAACTTTAAGATCACGTTTTGATCATTATAAGGATGAGAAAAAGTCATATATAAATTGATACGAAAACTTTCTCTTCTTAAGTCATAAATATTTCTATAGGATTTGTTTACGTTTTTAGAATGAACGAAATATATTTTTAAAGTTTTCTATTCTTTTCGGAAACGTCTTTTAGATACATATTTATTTATCTATTTATTACGTTCTGAGATTTAGCAGAAATATTAAGTGACAATAATGAAATCAATTAAGATATCTTCCTTCTTAAGATAAAATATTATTAATTATTTATTAATTATTATAAGAATCTATACATTTATCTTTCGTCGTATTAAATACAAATTCATACATACGTAAATGTATCTTAAATTTTTTATACGCAGTTATTTCTAATGTTTTTCTAATATATATTTCAACACTCACTAATAGCATGTCGAATAAAAACATTTAAATATATTTATTTTCGTTCGTCAAATAATGCATGTATACAATTTACTCATTAATTCGGCTGAGTCGAATATTTAAGTACAGTTGTGACAATTTACTGAAGACTTATAAGTTTGGAATTAATTAATGATAAGAATAGCATATAAGAATTATTTTTATTTCGAAAAAGATGCTTACATAAATGATTGATTTTCTTTTGTTATCTTTCAGGTATCGAAGAAACGATGGAATTGATAAAAGCAGCGGGTGGTACTTGTTACGGATACGTTTGCGATGTTCGTAATCGCGATGATATTTACAAAACGGCTGAAATTGTTAGAGAAGAAGTTGGTCAGGTGAGATTACATGCAAAACTTTGTTAGACGGATATTGAAAATATAGCGAAAAATTCTGTCGATTTGCACTCGAAGAACTTTTCGAGGGAAATTTCTTCTTAAGATCGATGGATTATGTAATGCAGGCGTTCTCGTGATAACGTTGTACTTGCTTAGAAAATGATAGTAGATAACGTTCTAATGGGTTGGATTTTCTTAAAGGATGTGATTAGCCATTTTAGTACATTTACTGTTTTGTCGATTTTTAGGCTCATTTAGGGGAATTAATATTTGAAGAATTACCGTTAAAATTAGTTGAAAATTTTTGGCAAATGACCAATAAAGCTACTTTCTTTTCATTAATATCGTGATAATCTTCGATTGTTTTGCATTAAATTTTGGGATGTTTTCTAAGTTTGAAGATTATAAGTTCAATGTCAATCTAATCAGATACTATGATTAGAGGAGAAGTATTGTAATGCGCGGTTCGGCACGTATCACGTATAACTTTTGTTGTTAAAGAACGCCTAACGCACGTTTTTATATGTAAATTGTAAAATATTTTTATTCAAATATTTATTTAATTTGTAGGTAACTATTTTGATTAATAATGCAGGTGTGATAAATATTGGAATTTTCTGGAAGACATCGGATGATCTTCTTAGTCGTTTAATGGAAGTAAATATTATGAGTCAATTTTGGGTAAGAAAAACAATAATATATCCCCTATACGTTAAATACTAAACAAAACCATTTAGTATATTACTGTTTAATGTTGTTGCTTATTAACAAAACTATAATTCAAACATTGCGGTGGATTACAGATTCGAATATAGATTGTGATATCTAAACGTATCGTATCGTTGTAAAGTGAACTGTTTTCCGACTATCCTTAGATTCACAGTTCTTTATTTCTGATCCTTCGAGTACTTTGAAATTATAAAAATTATCATAAAAACTGCCAGTTAGATTTTCTCGAAGAATTTTTACAGGTATTCTTTGTATTCATGACATAGCGTTATGTAAATATGTCCGCGTGCATATCCTTGTACAGCAAGTTGAATCGTTTATAAGGCTAATTAGAGGAAATTTCATGTATTATTTTTATTTGTTATTTGCATGAATTCATTAGCACTATCGTCTATCATTTTCAAAAGAGAAAAAGAAATAGTAAATTGAAATCTGATAGACATCTTTGTGCTTTTGAATGAAATCAAAAGATTGGAGTCGTTTGGATCGTGACAGAATTATTATAAACCCAGTTATCCATTACTACATGTAAACTCGCAGCGATTATATCGATCAATCGATTTGCTGAGTCTAGATGACCAAAAATCAATGAAAAATCATTTTGACTTGCTAATTCGATTCAGTACCGCAAGTATGTTAAAATGTATGTAATCGTTCGATAACAAATATTTTCTTTATGATAGTAATGAAATATATAAATTTGTTGCAACTATATGTATTTCTAATAAATTCCATGATTCTTGTAATAATAGAATCTTTTCCAGACTGTCAAAGCATTCCTTCCGGCAATGATAGAAAGCAACACAGGCCATATTGTGAATATAGCGAGTATTGGAGGTCTCCTTGGATGTCCCGCAATTGTAGATTATTGTGCGTCTAAGTTTTCAGTTGTTGGTTTCAGTGAAGCATTACAATTGGAATTAGACGTATGTATTATGCTTAATTTATATTTATTTGCTGATAGAAATATCGATTAGTTGGCTATATTTTTGTTGCTATATTATTTTTTTATTTCTGTTTATACATTTTATTTAGTTTCATGGACATGACGTTAGCATTACATCACTATGTCCGACGTTCATTCTCAATACGGGCATACCTGCAGCTAAATTCTCTGGGTATGAATGTTTAGTACCTGTAGAGTTAATTACTATATAAATATGAAAAAAATAAATATTTGTTTCAGGCATCTTCCAACTGTTAGTCCGCAAGATGTTGCTGAATGTACTGTTACTTCCATTCGATGTAATAGGAAAATTGTTTTGGTGCCAAATTACATGTACTTCCTACTATTTTTGAAATGGTATAATAGATTTCTCAGAAAAACTTTATCCGCACAATTGTAACATTTTTCTTTAATTTTTATCGTATACAATTTAATAACAAATCTAAACCAAATTTCAGGATAGCGCCACATCGTTTCTATTCTAAAGTATTGAGATATTTAATGCCGATGGATCGAACTGAATTTTATCCAATAGAAAATCAAGAAAAATATAAGACACATTTTTCAAACGCAAATAATGTCATTGCGTCATGAGCACTAGGCATGTTCACTTAATTTTTGCGAAAGATATCATGTACTGATATTTAAATATTTCTATATGAATATATGGATTATCAAACAAGAATAAAGAATAGAATCATCAATCGCAAAAGTATCAAATAATAAGAGTTGATAATTTCGGAATAGAATATCGGAAACGAGTATAATTTGTTCTTTACAATTTATTTATCTTATAACTAAAGTCCCAATAATTTCATTATTACGTCAATATCTATATTTGAATCTACATTTGAAGCTTCCATCTGCGTGTAATTATTTTAACTTAGGTCAAGGGCAGGACACATGTATGCACCAGCGATAAAATGATCAAACCGGTATTCATTTAAAAAAACCGCTCCCGTCATAATCCCAAATTAACAGGAGAACATAAATTCTTTTGAATGAACCTCGTGAGGTAGATGTGAGATGTAGATGTAGATGTGATAGTAGATATCACAGTATATTTGTAGTAGTATGATACAATTGTCGTTGTGTTCATGTATTATGAGCTGAATTGGCTATTTCTGAATTAATAATGAGATAAAACTCGGATGTATGTATGTTGTGATGCTGAAGTATATAAGTTAGACTGCTATATGTAACAAATTATACTCGTTTCCGATATTCTATTCCGAAATTATGAACTCTTGTTATTTGATAATTTTACGATTGCTGATTCTGTTCTTCATTCATATTTCATAATCCATATTGAAATATTTAAATATCAGTAATTTAGTTTGTGCTAGACACCTCCTTTTGAGGCATAGCCAGTCATATTGATAAGACACGACTGTTCTACTGGTGAGTGCAAATGCTTGGTTGCTATCGTCTGCGGATTTTTATGTGCAATGGAACGTATTATTTGTTGTATTGTTGATAATGAACATGAGTGATCTGATTTATAGTTTTCTTTGTATCGGAATAAATGATTATATAATTTTTTAATTTTTCTGATTTATGTGCACTAACTTCTAAAGAAAAAAGAGTATATATATATGTAGGAATTTCACTAGGAATGGCATTAAGACCGTAATGTCTTTCTGAAATAAATTTATTTTAATTTAATTTATTTTATTTTAATATATTTCTTCTCCTATTCTTCATGTTTCCGATACTTACAACTTTTTATTAATACCTACCGTTGTATTACACTTTTCCTTACAATGTATTTACCTTATTACTAAAGATCCCATAGTTTGGCTATTTTATCTTACGTACCAACATTTAAAGCTATCATCTGTGTGTAACAGATTCTTATCTTGTTAACAGGACGTGTGAGTCCAAACGATAAATTGATCAAACTGGTTTTCTTTACATGGAAATTAATTCAACGATTTTTTTGATACTTGCTCAGTTATAAACTGTTTATTAATATTAGGTATACGTATCTCAAATATGTAGATACGTATCTTTGATTGAAGATACTAAACTGCGTAAGAATATGGTTTTTTTTGTGTGTGAGATATGTCGGTAAACAAATTAACTGATAAACGTAAAGATTCTAGAAGATTGCTAATCGTACGTGTGAGTTTATGTCAAAGGTTATCCATTTATTAGATGAATGAAAAAATGGAACGTTCGAATAGTAATTGTTTATGTGCAATTGTGAGGTTCATATAGTTATGGTAAATGAAGATCTGGAATATTGAGAAAGAGAGAATGATAAATAGTGGCGAAATTGAATGCATAAGAGAGTATTGAGTAATGTTTAGCGACTGACGTACGAGTGAAAAAAGCTAGCAAGTATAGCGAAGCAAAAAATTAATAGAGAGACAGACGGGACAGCGAACAGTGAAGAGCGAACAGCGAACAACGAACAGCATATGATATTATGCTATCTATATTTCAATAATTATATATATTTTTCAATGTATAACCACTATCGAGTACAATATTGTTTTCCTCAGCATTGTACCGGCCTACTAGTAGGGAAAGAATTAACCTGTCATTTGTTTTCAACAGGTTTAATTATATTTTTTCCCACACACACACACACAGACACACGCACACACACATATATATATATATTTTTGCACCTATATACTTGTGTAGATTTAACATCATATATTTTTATTAAATATATTAATCTAAATATTTATTTTCTTAAGATTCTTATTGAATTTATTATATTGTAAAGTGGTGAGTTTAAGATTCTTATTGGATTTGTATTAATTACATCAATGTGATCTTACTTTCTTAACTTGTGATGAGGAAAAATTATGTGTCCGTAGAAACTAAACAAAGATAACAGTTTGTTCTTATTGTCAACAGAAAAAATATAAAAATCTAATATAACAAGTGAACGTAAAAAATTAATTGCAATTGAATACAAATTGTTCAGTTGAATAATATTTATATTAAAATGTAATTAATCGAAAGAATGTATCATAAAAAATAAATGCAACAGGATTGTCAATCGCGAAAATTTTATAAAAAAGGAATAGACCAGTAGATTTTTTTTTAACTATAACGACATCGACAACGAGAAAAGTTTATTTTTGTACTTTCTTAATCTTTTTCTAATATTTTTATAATAACTATGATTGTGATAAAAATCGATAAAAACTATTGGACGTACGTTGATTTCGTAATCCATATGTTGCACTTACTCGAAAATTCAGATAATTTATTGGATTAATGGGAAGAATTATGCTCGCGTTCTTTTCTCCTTCTTTTGTTTCTTGGGCAAAAAGATTTTGTTATCTTTTTTCGGAATCAATTAATTTCCATTTACCGGTTTATGCAGGATGTAATATATTATCCACTATCATATTGGTGATCTTTTTGACATATCCCTCTTCTCTCTCTTTCTCTCTCCTTCTCTCCTTCTCTCTTTTGCATATTCATACATGTTGCTATTTTACATAGACAAAATACGAAATTCATTTTGTAGTCGAAATAAGAGAGAAAAGTTAAAATGTTATTTATTTAAAATAAGTCATAAAGTAGAAAAAGAAATGATTGAGAGAGAGAGAGAGAGAAAGAGAGAGATAGAGGGAGAGAGAGAAAAAGAAATTTCGATCAATTATATGTTATATTAATAATATCGAAAACAACTTGTTTATATAAAAATATTCTTTTGCTCTAATTACATTGAGTCGTTTACGAGAAATGAAACATATGGGTTATTAAAATAAGAAATAAAATGTTATGTTTCAATTGGATTGAGAAACATTTCTTTGGAATAGGACATCAATAGTTTCTAATCTTGTTATCGTCTTTTGGGATTGTTTGAAATTTTCAGATTGAGTTTTTCGTGCAGGAATAAAATAGAATGCATCGATTGTTCATGATGCAAAATTCGAAACAAAATCTTCTTTAGAGCTCATTGATGTTTTGTTATAATTATTTTCAAGAAGTGTTGAACTTATGATATATGATCTGCACGAATTATCACCAAATGTTACTCTCGTTTATTCATATTATTTTCGACCCATCTTGTGTACATCGGCGATAGAAGTTTCATTTCAAGAAAGATTTAGAATTATGTAGTAATTAGTTCCGGTATATGATATAACGACAAATATTCACTGAAGGCGTATACAAAACGTTTCGAGTCAGTAGGTCAAATATATATGTACAGTAGCCAGTTTTGAAATGCGTATTTCCCCCACTCTTCTCTGTATGTATATCCCCACCTCGCATATAATATCTCGTTCAACTTGCTCGGCATTCAGTTTGTCGATAACCATAGGACGTAGAGGACTCTCTTTTCTTTTTATGGAGAAGAATAATTTATTTTGTTGACAATTTGTTGCCGTTACTTATTTATCTTTTTTTAGCTGCTTCTTGTATCCTGAAATAAGATCTGTGGACATTTGATTTTTTAATGTAAATTATATCATGCATTGGAATATTTCTTTTTTCAAATGTTGTTATTAATATAACAATAAATGAACTTTGTGTTATTTTTTGTGAGTTTTTGGCTTGTAATTGAAAAGAAAATATTTAGAAAAATATTTAAATATTGAGAGTAAATTCTTAAATCCAATGTACAAGTGTATCTCTGAAGGGATTTAAGAAGGTATGATTTTGAAGGTATAAAACTTTCTTGGAAGAGAGTAGTGGATATGTGATCTTGATCATACTCAAACTATAATCGTGTAATACTAATGTTAACGATTGCAATAAAACTAGTGATAATAATGATGTTGATATTACGATAATAATAATGATAACGAAGATAGTAATAATAATAATAATAATAATAATAATAATAATAATAATAATAATAATAATAATAGTAATAATAATAATAATAATAATAATAATAATAATAATAATAATAATAGTAATAGTAGTAATAATAATAATAATAATAATAATAATAATAATAATAATAATAATAATAATAATAATAATAATAATAATAATAATAATAATAATAATAATGATAATAATAATAATAATAATAATAATAATAATAATAATAATAATAATAATAATAATAATAATAATAATAATAATAATAATAGTAATAATAATAATAATAATAATAATGATTATAATAATAATGATAATAATAATAATTATAATATATTATGTTTTATATTTTGTCTCGTAAGTTAATGTTGTTATTGCTTAATACAGGATATTTTGTTACCATCTTCAATTGCTCAGAAAGAGAGACGAAAATAACGTTGAAAGTTTATGTAATCATGTGGATCTTTCTACCTGTGCTCAAATTTATCATTTCCAAATTTATTGGAATTATGAGAAGTATTATGAAGTTATTTATTCCGTTGAAATATCAAATGAAGGACATTTCTGGCGAGATTGCTCTCGTCACAGGTGCTGCCGGAGGTCTTGGAAGAGCAATAGCCATCGGTTTAGCTAATCATGGTGTCATCGTTGTCATTTGGGACATCAATCAGAACGGTGCGTTAATTTTGATATTCTATGTTATTTAAAAAATTATTTGTTCAATCAAAATTATATTCGGAAGGTAAATCTATGATAAATTATAGTACATATGTTCGTATTTAAAATCTTCATATGATTCAAGTCACATATATTCTTACGTTAGTATGTATTGTATTATTTCTTTTTATATATAGTAATAAACCATCTAACTTTAAGGTCACATTTTGATCATTATAAGGATTAGAGAAAGTCATATATAAATTGGTACGAAAACTTTCTCTTCTTAAGTCATAAATATTTTTATAGGATTTGTTTACGTTTTTAGAATGAACGAAATATATTTTTAAAGTTTTCTATTCGTTTCGGAAACGTCTTTTAGATACATATTTATTTATCTATTTATTACGTTCTGAGATTTAGCAGAAATATTAAGTGACAATAATGAAATCAATTAAGATATCTTCCTTCTTAAGATAAAATATTATTAATTATTTATTAATTATTATAAGAATCTATACATTTATCTTTCGTCGTATTAAATACAAATGCATACATACGTAAATGTATCTTAAACTTTTTATACGCATTTATTTCTAATGTTTTCCTAATATATATTTCAACACTCACTAATAGCATGTCGAATAAAAACATTTTAATATATTTATTTTCGTTCGTCAAATGATGCGTGTATACAATTTACTCATTAATTCGGCTGAGTCGAATATTTAAGTACAGTTGTGACAATTTACTGAAGACTTATAAGTTTGGAATTAATTAATGATAAGAATAGCATATAAGAATTATTTTTATTTCGAAAAAGATGCTTACATAAATGATTGATTTTCTTTTGTTATCTTTCAGGTATCGAAGAAACGATGGAATTGATAAAAGCAGCGGGTGGTACTTGTTACGGATACGTTTGCGATGTTCGTAATCGCGATGATATTTACAAAACGGCTGAAATTGTTAGAGAAGAAGTTGGTCAGGTGAGATTACATGCAAAACTTTGTTAGACGGATATTGAAAATATAGCGAAAAATTCTGTCGATTTGCACTCGAAGAACTTTTCGAGGGAAATTTCTTCTTAAGATCGATGGATTATGTAATGCAGGCGTTCTCGTGATAACGTTGTACTTGCTTAGAAAATGATAGTAGATAACGTTCTAATGGGTTGGATTTTCTTAAAGGATGGGATTAGCCATTTTAGTACATTTACTGTTTTGTCGATTTTTAGGCTCATTTAGGGGAATTAATATTTGAAGAATTACCGTTAAAATTAGTTGAAAATTTTTGGCAAATGACCAATAAAGCTACTTTCTTTTCATTAATATCGTGATAATCTTCGATTGTTTTGCATTAAATTTTGGGATGTTTTCTAAGTTTGAAGATTATAAGTTCAATGTCAATCTAATCAGATACTATGATTAGAGGAGAAGTATTGTAATGCGCGGTTCGGCACGTATCACGTATAACTTTTGTTGTTAAAGAACGCCTAACGCACGTTTTTATATGTAAATTGTAAAATATTTTTATTCAAATATTTATTTAATTTGTAGGTAACTATTTTGATTAATAATGCAGGTGTGATAAATATTGGAATTTTCTGGAAGACATCGGATGATCTTCTTAGTCGTTTAATGGAAGTAAATATTATGAGTCAATTTTGGGTAAGAAAAACAATAATATATCCCCTATACGTTAAATACTAAACAAAACCATTTAGTATATTACTGTTTAATGTTGTTGCTTATTAACAAAACTATAATTCAAACATTGCGGTGGATTACAGATTCGAATATAGATTGTGATATCTAAACGTATCGTATCGTTGTAAAGTGAACTGTTTTCCGACTATCCTTAGATTCACAGTTCTTTATTTCTGATCCTTCGAGTACTTTGAAATTATTAAAATTATCATAAAAACTGCCAGTGAGATTTTCTCGAAGAATTTTTACAGGTATTCTTTGTATTCATGACATAGCGTTATGTAAATATGTCCGCGTGCATATCGTTGTACAGCAAGTTGAATCGTTTACAAGGCTAATTAGAGGAAATTTCATGTATTATTTTTACTTGTTATTTGCATGAATTCATTGGCACTATCGTCTATCATTTTCAAAAGAGAAAAAGAAATAGTAAATTGAAATCTGATAGACATCTGTGTGCTTTTGAATGAAATCAAAAGATTGGATTCGTTTGGATCGTGACAGAATTATTATAAACCCAGTTATCCATTACTACATGTAAACTCGCAGCGATTATATCGATCAATCGATTTGCTGAGTCTAGATGACCAAAAATCAATGAAAAATCATTTTGACTTGCTAATTCGATTCAGTATCGCAAGTATGTTCAAATGTATGTAATCGTTCGATAACAAACGTTTTCTTTATGATAGTAATGAAATATATAAATTTGTTGCAACTATATGTATTTCTAATAAATTCCTTGATTCTTGTAATAATAGAATCTTTTCCAGACTGTCAAAGCTTTCCTTCCGGCAATGATAGAAAGCAACACAGGCCATATTGTGAATATAGCGAGTATAGCAGGTCTATTTGGATGTTACCGAGCCGTAGATTATTGTGCGTCTAAGTATTCAGTTGTTGGTTTCAGTGAAGCATTACAATTGGAATTAGACGTATGTATTTTGCTTAATTTAGTATATTTATTTGCTGATAGAAATCTCGATTAGTTGGCTATATTTTTGTTGCTATATTATTTTTTTATTTCTGTTCATACATTTTATTTAGTTTCATGGACATGACGTTAGCATTACATCAGTATGTCCGACGTTCATTCTCAATACGGGCATACCTGCAGCTAAATTCTCTGGGTATGAATGTTTAGTACCTGTAGAGTTAATTACTGTATAAATATGAACAAAATAAATATTTGTTTCAGGCATCTTCCAACTGTTATTCCGCAAGATGTTGCTGAATGTACTGTTACTTCCATTCGATCTAATAGGAAATTTGTTTTGGTGCCAAATTACATGTACTTCCTACTATTTATGAAATGGTATAATAGATTTCTCAGAAAAACTTTTTCCGCACAATTGTAACATTTTTCTTTAATTTTTATCGTTTACAATTTAATAACAAATCTAAACCAAATTTCAGGATAGTACCACATCGTTTCTATTCTAAAGTATTGAGATATTTAATGCCGATGGATCGAACTGAATTTTATCCAATAGAAAGTCAAGAAAAATATAAAACACATTTTTCAAACGCAAGTAATGTCATTGCGTCATGAGCACTAGGCATGTTCACTTAATTTTTGCGAAAGATATCATGTACTGATATTTAAATATTTCTATATGAATATATGGATTATCAAACAAGAATAAAGAATAGAATCATCAATCGCAAAAGAATCAAATAACAAGAGTTTATAATTTCGGAATGGAATATCGGAAACGAGTATAATTTGTTCTTTACAATTTATTTATCTTATAACTTAAGTCCCAATAATTTCACTATTACGTCAATAACCGAATCTATATTTGAAGCTTCCATCTGTGTGTAGTTATTTTAACTTAGGTCAAGGGCAGGACACATGTATCCACCAGCGATAAAATGATCAAACCGGTATTCATTTAAAAATACCGCTCCCATCATAATCCCAAATTAAAAGTAGAACATAAATTCTTTTGAAGGAACCTCGTGAGGTAGATGTGAGATGTAGATGTAGATGTGATAGTAGATATCACAGTATATTTGTAGTAGTATGATACAATTGTCGTTGTGTTCATGTATTATGAGCTGAATTGGCTATTTCTGAATTAATAATGAGATAAAACTCGGATGTTTGTATGCTGTGATCCTGAAGTATATGAAAAAGTATGTGTTCGTAGAAACTAAACATAGATAACAGTTTGTTCTTATTGTCAACAGAAAAAATATAATAATCTAATATTACAGGTGAACGTAAAATATTAATTGCAATTGAATACAAATTGTTCAGTTGAATAATATTTATATTAAAATGTAATTAATCGAAAGAATGTATTATAAAAAATAAATGCAACAGGATTGTCAATCGCGAAAATTTTATAAAAAAGGAATAGACCAGTATATTTTTTTTTAACTATAACGACATCGACAACGAGAAAAGTTTATTTTTGTACTTTCTTATTTTTTTTCTAATATTTTTATAATAACTATGATTGTGATAAAAATCGATAAAAACTATTGGACGTACGTTGATTTCGTAATCCATATGTTGCACTTACTCAAAAATTCAGATAATTTATTGGATTAATGGGAAGAATTATGCTCGCGTTCTTTTCTCCTTCTTTTGTTTCTTGGGTAAAAAGATTTTGTTATTTTTTTTCGGAATCAATTAATTTCCATTTACTGGTTTATGCAGGATGTAATATATTATCCACTATCATATTGGTGATCTTTTTGACATATCCCTCTTCTCTCTCTTTCTCTCTCCTTCTCTCCTTCTCTCTTTTGCATATTCATACATGTTGCTATTTTACATAGACAAAATACGAAATTCATTTTGTAGTCGAAATAAGAGAGAAAAGTTAAAATGTTATTTATTTAAAATAAGTCATAAAGTAGAAAAAGAAATGATTGAGAGAGAGAGAGAGAGAAAGAGAGAGATAGAGGGAGAGAGAGAAAAAGAAATTTCGATCAATTATATGTTATATTAATAATATCGAAAACAACTTGTTTATATAAAAATATTCTTTTGCTCTAATTACATTGAGTCGTTTACGAGAAATGAAACATATGGGTTATTAAAATAAGAAATAAAATGTTATGTTTCAATTGGATTGAGAAACATTTCTTTGGAATAGGACATCAATAGTTTCTAATCTTGTTATCGTCTTTTGGGATTGTTTGAAATTTTCAGATTGAGTTTTTCGTGCAGGAATAAAATAGAATGCATCGATTGTTCATGATGCAAAATTCGAAACAAAATCTTCTTTAGAGCTCATTGATGTTTTGTTATAATTATTTTCAAGAAGTGTTGAACTTATGATATATGATCTGCACGAATTATCACCAAATGTTACTCTCGTTTATTCATATTATTTTCGACCCATCTTGTGTACATCGGCGATAGAAGTTTCATTTCAAGAAAGATTTAGAATTATGTAGTAATTAGTTCCGGTATATGATATAACGACAAATATTCACTGAAGGCGTATACAAAACGTTTCGAGTCAGTAGGTCAAATATATATGTACAGTAGCCAGTTTTGAAATGCGTATTTCCCCCACTCTTCTCTGTATGTATATCCCCACCTCGCATATAATATCTCGTTCAACTTGCTCGGCATTCAGTTTGTCGATAACCATAGGACGTAGAGGACTCTCTTTTCTTTTTATGGAGAAGAATAATTTATTTTGTTGACAATTTGTTGCCGTTACTTATTTATCTTTTTTTAGCTGCTTCTTGTATCCTGAAATAAGATCTGTGGACATTTGATTTTTTAATGTAAATTATATCATGCATTGGAATATTTCTTTTTTCAAATGTTGTTATTAATATAACAATAAATGAACTTTGTGTTATTTTTTGTGAGTTTTTGGCTTGTAATTGAAAAGAAAATATTTAGAAAAATATTTAAATATTGAGAGTAAATTCTTAAATCCAATGTACAAGTGTATCTCTGAAGGGATTTAAGAAGGTATGATTTTGAAGGTATAAAACTTTCTTGGAAGAGAGTAGTGGATATGTGATCTTGATCATACTCAAACTATAATCGTGTAATACTAATGTTAACGATTGCAATAAAACTAGTGATAATAATGATGTTGATATTACGATAATAATAATGATAACGAAGATAGTAATAATAATAATAATAATAATAATAATAATAATAATAATAATAATAATAATAATAGTAATAATAATAATAATAATAATAATAATAATAATAATAATAATAATAGTAATAGTAGTAATAATAATAATAATAATAATAATAATAATAATAATAATAATAATAATAATAATAATAATAATAATAATAATAATAATAATAATAATGATAATAATAATAATAATAATAATAATAATAATAATAATAATAATAATAATAATAATAATAATAATAATAATAATAATAATAGTAATAATAATAATAATAATAATAATGATTATAATAATAATGATAATAATAATAATTATAATATATTATGTTTTATATTTTGTCTCGTAAGTTAATGTTGTTATTGCTTAATACAGGATATTTTGTTACCATCTTCAATTGCTCAGAAAGAGAGACGAAAATAACGTTGAAAGTTTATGTAATCATGTGGATCTTTCTACCTGTGCTCAAATTTATCATTTCCAAATTTATTGGAATTATGAGAAGTATTATGAAGTTATTTATTCCGTTGAAATATCAAATGAAGGACATTTCTGGCGAGATTGCTCTCGTCACAGGTGCTGCCGGAGGTCTTGGAAGAGCAATAGCCATCGGTTTAGCTAATCATGGTGTCATCGTTGTCATTTGGGACATCAATCAGAACGGTGCGTTAATTTTGATATTCTATGTTATTTAAAAAATTATTTGTTCAATCAAAATTATATTCGGAAGGTAAATCTATGATAAATTATAGTACATATGTTCGTATTTAAAATCTTCATATGATTCAAGTCACATATATTCTTACGTTAGTATGTATTGTATTATTTCTTTTTATATATAGTAATAAACCATCTAACTTTAAGGTCACATTTTGATCATTATAAGGATTAGAGAAAGTCATATATAAATTGGTACGAAAACTTTCTCTTCTTAAGTCATAAATATTTTTATAGGATTTGTTTACGTTTTTAGAATGAACGAAATATATTTTTAAAGTTTTCTATTCGTTTCGGAAACGTCTTTTAGATACATATTTATTTATCTATTTATTACGTTCTGAGATTTAGCAGAAATATTAAGTGACAATAATGAAATCAATTAAGATATCTTCCTTCTTAAGATAAAATATTATTAATTATTTATTAATTATTATAAGAATCTATACATTTATCTTTCGTCGTATTAAATACAAATGCATACATACGTAAATGTATCTTAAACTTTTTATACGCATTTATTTCTAATGTTTTCCTAATATATATTTCAACACTCACTAATAGCATGTCGAATAAAAACATTTTAATATATTTATTTTCGTTCGTCAAATGATGCGTGTATACAATTTACTCATTAATTCGGCTGAGTCGAATATTTAAGTACAGTTGTGACAATTTACTGAAGACTTATAAGTTTGGAATTAATTAATGATAAGAATAGCATATAAGAATTATTTTTATTTCGAAAAAGATGCTTACATAAATGATTGATTTTCTTTTGTTATCTTTCAGGTATCGAAGAAACGATGGAATTGATAAAAGCAGCGGGTGGTACTTGTTACGGATACGTTTGCGATGTTCGTATTCGCGATGATATTTACAAAACGGCTGAAATTGTTAGAGAAGAAGTTGGTCAGGTGAGATTGCATGCAGCCGTCGTTAGATGCATAGCGAAAAATTCTAACGATAAGGATTGGATAATTTTTGTTTTTCGAAATGTTGCCTGTTTTTTCTTGATATTGATAGGTTTTTGAGTTATGGCTTTTTTTGCTAACAATCTACTCGCTTAGGAAGAGATATTATATGACCTTCTAATGAAGTTGAATATTATCTATATTATTATTTCTAGGTTGCGTTTTTCTAAATGAGCTGTGCAGTCGTTCATTTACAGTTTTATCAGTTTTCAGTTGCGTTTTGAGAAATGAATATTTATACGATTAATACATTATTATATTGATTCATTTGCATATTAAGCTCATACATGCGTGGATTTTTTCCTACTGATTATTACCGAAGTACAGACATACATGCTGATTTTTTATATAATAAAAAAGAAATTTTAGTGATATAGGCCAATTTTAGACTTTTCCGAATAATCCAAATGGTTTAAAATCATTTGTAAATATTCGACAAATATTCAATGAAACTATTCTTTTCTTATTTGTGTCGCGACACTCTTTGCTAATCACGCATTAAATTTCTGGATATTTAAAAATTTTTGTAATTAGAAGTTCCATATAAATTTGATCAAGTGTTATGACAAGTATCGAAGTATTGCATTGAATCGTATGGCATATTTTATATAAATATTATTATTAGAGAACATTTAACGCGATGCTTTTATACGTATAGTAGAATATTTTTCTTCAAATATTTTTCTATTTTGTAGGTAAACATCTTGGTTAATAATGCAGGAGTGATAAATATTGGAAATTTCTTGGATATTCCAGATAATCTTCTTAATCGTACAATGGAAATAAATATCATGAGTCAATTTTGGGTAAGTAAAACTATAATATATCCTTTATATGTTCAATTCAACTAGTATTAATGTTTGATTTTGTTGTTTATTAATAAAACTGCAATTAAAATGGTATGGCTTTTTATAGTTTCGAATAAAAAAGGTAATATGAAAATGTACTGTATTGAAAATGTACTATATATACAATGATTTTGTGGTTGAAGAGTGAACTGTTCTGCGACTTTCATTAAATTGACAGTTCTTTCTATTTCCTCTTTCAAATTCTTAGAACTCATAGAAAGTGTCATAGAAACTGCTGGTTAGACTTTTTGAAAAAACATATGGGTACTCTCTGTATTTATATATGTGTGTGTATTTATATCCAAATATAATATTGTACTCAAATTTAAATGGATAAACTTAATCTAGACGGCCGATTAAAGCAATGTATTCATATATGTTTTACCCATTTTTTGCTTGAATCCATTGCCACAACAGTATATCACTTTGAACTGTTTAAAAAAATTGTAAATTGGACATCCGACTGATTTCCAATTATATGATTTGGATATAATCACTTGTTTCAGTGATTGAACTAATATAAATCCACCTTTATTTCCGAAAAAAACGCTTCCTTTCATATTATTATCTGTTGATTAAGTTATATCATTTATTTTTCGATTTAGTTGAACGAAAATCGATTCTGTTAAAGTCATCCTATGTAAGAATGAGTTGTTAACTGAAAAAGTTGAGTAAATAAATTATTGTGAGGGAAATATTTGTTTTATACATACGTTTATTCATAAAAACGATTAAAGAAGAATAGAATTGTTTACAATTATGTTTAATTCTTATCACTATGTCAAAATATTATATAATATAATTTAATAAGTGGGCACTTTTGGAATCTATCAAAGGAGAAAAATAATTTTTGAAAGTTAAATCGATTAAGTATCTCATTGTGTGACGATCAGATTTAAATATGTATGTAATCGATCGTTGATTACAACTTTTTTATTATAATCGTAATTAAATATAAAAATTGTTTATGATTATATAAATTCTTACCAAAATTCTGGATTTCTGTTAATAAATTCCTGATAATAGAAATTCTTTTCTTTACAGACAGTAAAATCATTTCTCCCGGCGATGATAAAAAGCAATAAAGGTCATATTGTAAGTATAGCGAGTGCAGCTGGTCATATGGGGTGTCCAAAACTAGTTGATTATTGTACCTCAAAGCACGCAGTTGCTGGATTCATTGAATCATTACGATTAGAATTAGAGGCATGTATTTTTTTTTTTTAATTTAGTATCTTTATTTGCTTGTAAAAATACCATTTGTTATATCGGTATATTTTTATTTTATTTTATTTCTTTTTTCTATTTATACATTTCTTTTAGTACGAGGGATATAATATCAATACTACAATAATATCTCCTTACATCATTCGCAATACGGGCATGAATATAGGCAGAATTGCTCGGTATGAATGTTTAATACGCGTAGAGCTAGTTATAAAATATGATAATAATAAATATTTATTTTAGGTTTGCATCGTCTCTCAGTCCGAATGAAGTCGCTGAAAAAACGATAATATCCTTACGATGTAACAAATATATCGTTATTATACCAGCATTCCTTAAAGTTCTAATAATTTTGAAATGGTAGATATCAATCTCTCTTTAAATTTTCTTTATAATAAATAAATTTATAACACTTATCTTTAATTTTTATCGTTTACAATTTAAGAAACAATATTAAATGAAATTTCAGGATACTATGGGATTTCTTTCGTATGTTAATTCCTTCTTTAATCAACTATAATACTTTATCCAGCTATGAACCGATAAAGGAATCATCAGTAAAACAAAGTCCAATAAGGTCCAAAATTGTCGAGCGAAACATTAATAATTAACTGGTCGTATATTTTCAGTTTTTTATTTGCGCATTTTTATTATAACCATTACTTGTAATTTAAGCAGATTAATCAGACAATTAATCAAAAATAATCAAGTCAGATAATGAATTAGTTATTATTTTTTTTCCGATAAGAATATAATTAATATATACAAATCTTGATAGATAGTCTTGCATGATTGTTCTTTTTTGATATCGTGGGGAATGTTATCTCGACATTATAGAAATGTTTGATTGTCTACGTGCTTCTTTAAAAAATATTGATATACTTTATATTTTTTTTTATAAAATTTCACATATCTACTCTTATTTTTTATGAGCAGTCTTGCTTTTTTGATAAATCATAGTTAGCAATGTTGTAGACGATTACTTCATGATGTAACATTGATCTTACTTTTGTTTTATATGTTACTAATTGTGCATTTAAATCTCCTTTCTTATTGTTTCAAGCGTATTACTATTTCTTATTGTTTTTAAATCTATCTTTATTAACTATATTAAATTATATTAAATCTACTTTAAAACTTAATCCTAGAAGCTTGATAAAAATTTTTTTCTTTAGTATTTAGTTATTAATAGTTATTAATTATTCTTTATTTGGTGTTAGAAAATTTGAGGCCTGAAATTTATTAGTTGATAATTTATGTCATTTAATTAATAAATTTTGTAATTGTATCTATGCGTTACATTTTTCAATACGTCATTTATAGCGATCAAGGATAGGAACACACTCAAGTTATTGCAGAGATTTTGTAGAAATATTAATTAAAATGAAAAAAGAATTCGAATCTAGATATTTTTAATTACAATTTTTAATAACAATTTTAATTTATCTTAAGAATTATCGATAATAATTTTCATTTATCTTACGAGTTTGTCCTATGAATTGTCGATAATATATTTAATTTACCTTAAAAATTGTTAGCAATAATTTTGTTTATCTTCCGATTTGTTGAACAAAAATTTGTTTCAATCTTCCTTTTTAATTGTCGATAATAATTTTAATTTGTCTTACAAATTTTTTTTATTTATTATGAGTTGTCAGTAATATCCTTGATTTATCGACAAGTTTTTGGTAATAATTTCAATTTACCTTACGGATAATTGTCAATAATCCTAATTTACCTTACGGGTTGTCGGTAATATCTATGATTTCTCTTGCGAATTGTCGGTAATGATTTTAATAATAATAATCACAATTTATCTTCCGTGTAATCGATAATAATGTTAATTTACCTTCACAGGTAAATATAGTTTATACTATTCTAGAAATAGTTCATACTATTTTTGATTTATTTTACGAATTGTCAATAACATCCTTGCATTCTACAAGTATTCTTCTATTTAAATAATTCTAATCAACAATAAAATCGTATTAATTGACATAATATTATAGTTTATTATAGTTGATGTAACTTACAATAGTTTCATCTTTAATATATATACTTCGTACTCTGGTACAAAGATAATCGATGACGATCTATTAAAAAGATATGTACAAGTTAAAAATGTTTTTATCTAACAAAATAATACAAACAATAAATAATTACTGTGTAATAAAGAAATATTTTGTTTAAATTAAAAAAAAAGAAAAAATAAAACTCATTTAGATTGTAGATTCGGATAAAGGTAAAAATTTCAAATTATTTTTATTAATATTAGATGAATGAATATTTTATGATAAACCTACATTATTGATATTGGTAATATATAGATATTGGTAATCGATACGTGTTAATAAATTGAATTAAAATAAAAGTTAACTGCAACATTAAAGCTAACAGAAAGCTTATGGCAGTTGAGAGACTGAGATCGCGTGTTCACTTGGTTTTCACATAAACATGTACGTAACTGCAGAAACAACTTAAGCCAAACGTAATAAATACACATATAAGTATCTTCAACAATTTTCATAATTTTTATAATGTTCGTTATGTAAGTTAATTCGATATATATATATATAATTCTTTTTTCGTTTCTGTAAGTGGTGAACAAAATTCTTTTGATATTACGAAGAAATATAATATCTCCATCGATCGTATAATACACGACATATTGACGAACGTCCAGTCAATCAAGTTTCCCGCGCTTTTTCTCCAAATAACGGTAAGACAGTTCTCAGGGAAGGAGCGTACGTCTTTTTCCAAGGAAAAGTATTTCTCGATTTCGGAACGCGACTTATCGGTGTAGTATCATTACAGAGATAGTCTGGATCAGAGTTGACCAAGCGTCGAGTACGTAACACACATATATATATATATATATATATATATATATATATACATATATAAGCACACAATGTTTATATGTAACATAACGTATCTCATCCATTAGATCGTGAAGAGTAGTACGTACATACGTATATGAGTACATACATATATACATACATATATACATACATACATACATACATACTTATATACCATGTCTCCTTTTATCGATATTACGAGGGAAGAGAAAAAGGAGTGGATAGAATCTGTTAGGCGATAAACGAAGTTGCCTTCTCTTCGAGTGATCTAGAGATCATTCTTGAGATCGTTCCGAACGTTCAGACATGTTCCGCGTAATCGAATTCGCGAATACGAAAACGCGAAACCGTTCGAATGGGCCAATCGCCATCGTTTACCAACGTTCACTTACCTTCCAAACGTAATTCAGTTGTCTTGTTTACAACTGTCTTCGCCTTTCTCTCAAAGTGCCCTGTCATCCTTGTTTTCACGTACTTTTCACTTTTGTGTTTCCAGTTATGTTTTATCAACGATGTCCACATCCAGGTGTTGTCCATGAACGCGGAAGCAAATATCTATGTTTTTGGTAAGTACGACGATCTTATCTTTTCTCTCTTTCTTTTTTTTTTTGTTTTTGTTGCTTTTTGTTTGCTTTTGTTTCATTTCGTTTAGCACGATGTATAAACGAGAATAAATATTTTTATTTGTTGATTTTACATATGCTAAATTATTGTTTTATTCTTTTTTATAAACTGAGATCAAATATTATTCTTGATTGTTCTTACGTAAAAGTATTATATTTGTTTCATTATTTTTTATCGGCTTAAAGATCAAAATTATTTGAGTATAAAATTTATAAGTATAAATGTAGATTAGAAAATTTGTTTTAAATTCATTTGTGATTGTTCGCGAATATTTTCTTTTTTTTTTTTTCATTATTTTGATATAAGCATGACAATATGTATTTTTATTTCTTGGTTTTATGTAGAGGATAATATTGTTACATTCATCCTAATCGGCTGAGATGGATGTTATTTCTAGAAAATATAATTTATACAATTTGTTTCAAACGTAAATATTTATAATCATTTACAATCATTACAATTTTCTTTTCTTTTTTTCTAAAAAAGACAAAATAATTAAAAGAAAAATTTTAATCTTCAAAATTTTATAATAATGCATATAAAAATGTAACATTTTGCCGACTTAAAATTGGAATATAACGTATCAATCAAATAACGTATCAATCGATAATGTCATTTTCTATTTGATAAGTATTCACTATTGAATGTTTTAAGCGGGAAAATTACAAAATTACTTCATTAAAATACAACGAACAGTTTTTCTCTTTCTATCGTTTGTTGAACGTTACTTTTGTTTGTAATATCCTATAGATGTTATGTACGTACAAACATCCACCCACCTACCCACCCACATACACACACATACACACACAAACATATAGACGCATCTAGCCATACGTATACACTAGCTTTTGAGTTTGCTTTACTCACTCCTCGTCCATTGTTCTTATTCGGCTTCCAAATTGCTACCGGTTAAAGCGAGCGCCTGTAACGTTACTTTTGTGTTGGCTTTAGTCGCGGCAATACGTTCCGTTCTGTGCACGTACAGGGAAAATTAAATATCCGCGAAATTCATCTTCTCACGGTTGGCCTGTTGATTTTTAATTAATTTCGATTATAGAACTTTCATAACCTCTCTTGATGTGACGCCATGATAACCTGTTTAAAATTCGTTATCTTTAATAATCATTACATACGTTATTTTTTATTATCTAAAGACATTTTATTATGTATAATCTTTATATATATATATATATATATATATATATATAAATGATATATATACAAAAGTACATTATTATTTATTATATGATAAATATTTGTTCAAAATAGTATAATATTAACTATACGTACGTATATAGAATATATCCGTCCACGAATGTCCGAGCAAATATTTCGCGACTCGTTGAAGTAACAAGAAAGTTTAATAAGAGAAATTTCCATGGCTCAGTGTCAATACAAAGTACATAATTCCAATTTTTTTTTTGTTTTACTCGAGAACTTTGTTTTGAGTTATGAAAGTCAGCATAGTTTTGTTGAATATCTATAATTCTTTTTGAATGCTTATTTTGTTGTGCAGTAACATTTGCAATTTAAATTATATCTAATATAAAGTTATTAGAGACTGTGTATTGTTTATAAGATAATCGACATCCTAAGAATTAAAGTAGCTGATTTTTTATACTACGATTTTAAAAACAATCATAAACTATTTTGTTCGATTACGTTGAAGGGTATCATTAATCACTTTCAACTCGTAAAAGTATACAAATGATTGATACGAAACTAATGTATTTTGTATAGTATGGAGTATGAATTGCAGTATAATATGAATCTGTTGGTCAATTGTTAAAATGTCGATTATCTTGTAAAACTTGCACAATAGAAAATTTTTTATTACATATGATTTTGATTGAAAATGGCCACTGCTAAATAAAATTGTAAAAAAAAAAGATTATAAAATTAATCCGTTCAAAAAAAAAATTATGCTGACCATCGTAGCTCGCAAAAGTCACAAATAAAAAAAATATTTTTATGCGCTCTGTAACTGACTTAGGGTTATGCAACTTTTTTGTTTCTAATAAACTTCCTTGTAACATCAATCAGTTTGTAAGATATTTGCTCCGACATTTATGGCCGGAACATATAAATATGTATATATATATATATATATATATATAGTATTCAAAATTCCAACGTTATTTATTGACCGATCAATAATGGTACAATATTATAAAAATCATTGAAGATTTCAAGATTACTTATTAATCAAGTCTAATACAATATTCTAATGGTAAGTTCTTATTTAAGTAAAAATATATTGCAAATTACAGCGTTCATTATTGATCAAATTAAGCCTAATACAGTATTCAATATCGTTTATTAAACGTATATTTAATATTGTTTATTGAAATACAAATTTCTTTAAATATTTCACTGTTACTTATCGACCAATGCAAAATCAGTAAATATATAATAATATCAGTAATTATATATTGCTATTATAAAAAAATACTAAAAATATCGACTTCACTTGTTAATCATTTAAGACAAACGTATTACTGTAATCAATGTTATTTATTCGGATAAAAAAATATTCGGATATGAAAATATTAGGGCTATTTATTGCTAAATAATACTATTAATAGTGTTACAAAATATATTAGCAAGTATACAAATTTCGGCATTACTTATTGTCCAAACGGAGACAGACAAATGTAATAATATATTGAAACTCCCTCGATAGTCCTCAGAAAAAAAAAAAAGAAAAAAAAATATCCACCGTCATTTATCGACCGATCGATTGAAAAAAAAAACTATAGTTTATTATAAACACCGGGAGGTTGTTTAATTCGCAACTAAGATATTGTTAGAAGTATGTCGACGTTAGTTATTGGCGAAGTTGTTAGAAACTTTTCGGATGGTTTATTCGCAAGCTGGCAATAATAGACGTAGTCGAATCGTAGGAACGATAATATTTATATCGTAACTCTCGTCGGTAGATTCCCGTACTCGAAAGAATTTCTATCGTGTGTCGCACTGAGAAGGCACCGAAGAGGCCAAGATTTTCTCTCTCTTTCTCTCTCTCTCTCTCTCTCTCTCTCTCTCTTTCTTACAGATGTTTCACTCGAGATTACGACATTCTTACGTTTTTCTCTCTCTCTCTCTTTCCCTCTCTTTCTCTTTCTTTCTCTTTCTTTCTCTTTCTTTCTCTCGAGGCACAGATTGAAATCTGTATGGTGCGAGAGGTACGGCCACGGTCCAACGTCATTTTTTTTCCTCCGTTCTTTCACTTTTTGCTTTCACGTCGTAACCCTATACCCCGGACGTTGCTTTTCAAACGTCCACGAAGAGAAGAGACAACGACAAAGAAGACGAAGAAACCATCATCCCGTATATGCTCGAGATAACAAATGTTTCTTTTTTTCAACATTTTCCATTACTTTTAATATTTCGTTGATAATAATATACATTAATCCTCATCGATCTCTTTCGATCTATTCGAATTCAAGATTGAGATTTTAATAAGAAAGAAATAAAAGAAAATGAATAAGTATTTATTTTGATATTTTTCATATAATACATAATAATAATATATTATATTTATCATTCCCTTTATATATATATATATATATATATATATATATATATTTATAAAGAGAGAGAGAGAGAGGGAGAGAGAGAAGATATGTTTTATTTTTTATAATAGATATTGGAACAGTTTTGGATTGATCAATAAATAACAATTGAATTTTTACTATTTTATATCTAAATAAACAACACTAGTATAGTTTAATATTATATTAAGTAAAGAATATAGATAATATAATACGAAAGAAATTTGGATTAATAATTAAATTTATTATATAATATTTTTGGATTGGTCAAAAATTATATATTGTCGGAATTTTTATAATTTTATATTTAAATAAATATAATATTATTTACAGTATTATACTAGTTTTGATCAATGGGTAATATCGAAATCCTCAATAAAAGTTATTACTATTATATACTTTTTTTCATACCTGATATTGTTTACTAATATTTGAAGTAATCCGAGTGTTATATAGATATGGGATGGGGTTTATGAGGAAAATGATTTTTTACAGTACTTATTAGAATTCTATGTGATTGTAATGTGCTATTAAGCCACAAAAACTTTTATGTAATATTTTATACGACGATTTTAAATGACGTCATCGTCGTGTGTAGAAATTGAATATATAATTTTTATACACTTATACATATTCTAATATTTCGCATAAAATTAATCGAATGAAGAAAATAATTTAAAAATTAACATATCATTAATAATGTCTTATCAATTTTAATATAAAGTAATTAAAATTCTAATTCTAATTCTAAACTTATTTTTCTCCATTGTAGCACCTAAAACATTGATCAAAGAATTCTAATTATTTTTATCTGAATATTTTGCAAATATCAAAAAAAGGTTTATCAAAAAAAAAAGAAAATTCTAATTTTTTCAAAAAAAAAAGAAAAAACAAAAAATAAAAAAATTCTAATTATCCTAATCCATCTGTAATATTTAGAATCCGGATTGTGTACATTGAATTCGAGATTCCGGAAAAGAAAGGAAGAAAGAAATTGAAAAAAAAGAAAAAAGATAAAGGAAAAGAATCCCATAAATCTACACGATCTTTTAATCCTCTTATCAGATTTTTATCTATCTTACATAATCACTGCTGAGTCCAAGGTTTCAGGAAAGAATGAAGAAAAAAGAACAAGAAAAGAGGAAAAGAGAAAACAAAACAAAAGAAAAAATTAAAAAAATTAAAAATAAAAGGGGGAAAAAAAACCGAAAGAAAAGATTAAAACGAATTTTCTAAACCCTATTCTAACTTTCAGCGGGTTGTCAATCTTTTTTCTTTGTTATATAACCCATCGATCAGTCGATAATAATTGATGGACAGAACTAGGCGTTAATGTTGTAGCTTTTTACGTCACGTTAGAGATGATAGGGCCCTAGAACCGTAAG